GGGCGGGGCGGGGCGGGGCGTGATGGGTCTGCAAAGGGTTCGCTGACCCCCGGGGGGCACCGCACCCCTGGGCATGCACCGCACCGCGTCGGTCCGCCGCCAGCCATCGTAGCTTGTGACCGGGGTGGTGTCGCAGGACGCAACGGAGCCAAGGTGTGTGACTGACGGAGGGTCTCGACAACGTATCATACCCCCAGAAATTAGAAAATAAAATAAAAAAGATCATTTCAAGGACGGAATATCTCCTGATAAACATTTGAACGACATTTAATTTACGACTCGCCGGCAACGGCCAGAGTCGCGCCGAGCGCTCGGCTGGAGGGAGCGCCTGACGATAGCGAGGTAGGCCACCCGGATTTACAGCAGTGCGCGGCGGGCGTGCCTACCTCGCAGGCGTTCTATGTATGTTTTCCCATTTTGCTGCTACTTGCAGTGCGATGATTTGAACGTTTTAATGCTGTCGATGCATATGCCGGGTCATTCTCTAATAATGCATTATTTTAGTCTTAAATGTATCATCTTGCGAACAGAGGTCGTCGCATCCGCATTACAGTTGGTCCTGTGCCGTCCCGGCGCGATCAAGTCATCGCTGTCGTCACTCTGACGCGCTGCGCTGCCACGCTCCGGGAGGGAGGGGCGCCGGGCGGGACCGGTAGCCGGGCGTCATCGCCCACCCGGCAGTTATGTGCTTCCAAACACATAAACGTCACATAAAAGGCACGGGCCTTTGATACATGCAGTGCGCCCCCCCTCCCCCTTTTCCTTCTCACCTCTCGACAACATCCAGCAGCAGCAGCAGCACCGCCTCCCCGCGGCCGCCGCTCTCCCGCACGCGAAGAATCCTATAAACTAAGTGGTCGGGAACTTCTTCATTCATTGATCCACTTAAACGAGAGGCAGAAGCAGGCAGAGGCCACAATCGAGATGTCGAGTTAGGAGCGCGTTCGCACTTCGTGCTGACATTTATTTTAGCATGAGGTACCAGCGCATTCATGGTGCATTACTGCGCGCGGATGTGCTACCTGGCTAGTATAATAGTTGTCCTTTTCGTAAAATGGAAAGTAGACCTGTGTACCAAAACAGCCGACACATCAAACATGAGAGTATGAGGAGGGGATGGAGAGAAAACAAGGAAACTCGATGCATCAAAAATTCCAAAATTTCGTCTGTTTTTGTGTTAGCGTAGACTATTGGACGCCCGCCTAGTAATACTACACACATGTAAGAGTAACATGGCCCGGGTGCAGCGGCCGGTGCGGGGCGGGCGGGGCGGCCTCCAGCAGGACGCTCCTTGCCCGGCCGTGCGGCTTGGCGTGCGCAGCTCTTCAATTTATGGAAATTATGAGTCGTTTTCCTCGGCGTGGCGTGCCGTGGCTCAGGGCGGCGCGGGCCCCGCCCGTCTCTCTCTCTCTCTACCGCCCGACTGTCGGCGGGCCGTGCGGCGTGGCGCGGCGCGGCGGGGCGGCGGTGGTCAGGCGTCGATAATTACCGAGCAAAAGATCGTAAAGCATCGGATGACACAGGAGAGGCCGGGAGAGGCGCACCGCGCGGCGTAACCCTACCGCCCCGCCCCGCCCCGCCACGCCCGGAGGTAACGCTGCCGGGAATATACGACCGATCGCGCGACAAATTATTTCCCCATCAAATTTTAATTCAACCTCGCTCCCTCCTTGTAAGATTACAGGAAATCATGCTGTCGTGGTGGCATCACGCTCGTAAATCCCAGTCGGTAATTGGTCATCTCTCCCGCGTTTCCCCTCTCTGCTGCGCTGCTGCTGTCCGGCTTGTAAAAAGGTCCTCCTCCTGCAGACTGATTCGGAAGAGACCTCAAGGGGCGCTGCCCTATGAGTGCGACAAGGACGGAGCTATACGGAAGGTATAGGAGAGGTTTCTTCGGAATCAGTCGGTACGTATACCGCGGACGAGATGGAGGAGAGGAGGACGTGCCCGCCGAGGCGTCGGGTCGGCTGCACGACGGCGTCGAAGGGAAGGACGGTTGGAGCTCGGGGGTGGCGGTGTGCAGTGCCGTAAGCAGGGGCGGGGCGGGGGCGGGCAAGGCATTGTACTGCTTGCGGCGCTAGACGCCGCCGCCGCCGCCGCCGGGCCGGGGCCGAGCGACCCAGTGGGCAGGGCGCCACGCTGTTCGCCATGTAAACACAACGCCAGACCGCCAGACGCTTCCGTCTCGCGCGTCCGAGAGTGGGCCGGGGAGGGGGCCGGGGCAGGGGGCAGCCGGGGAGGGACCCCGCGCGGCGCGGGTTGGCGTAGGCCAGGGGCCGCGTATGCGCCCGGGTCAACAGCAGCTAATCGGCGGCGTGTGTTTTTGTGTATTCCAGGAGGCAACTGCTGGTCGGGGATGTCGCGCAACGGCCGGTGCATGGACCTCATCCAGGAGAAGGTGACCCGGGAGCAGTGCTGCGCGCTAACGGCGGCGGGCGGCAGCCACGGCGCGAGCACCGCGTGGAGCGAGAAGGACATGGACGCGGGCATGCTCTTCTTCTGGAGGGTCCTCGGCGACGGCGTGCCCTGCCAGGCGTGTCGAGGTGAGTGCGAGACTTGTGCCGCGTTAGGAGGCGAGTGCTGCACACGTTTGGGTTGCCCACGCTCACGGACAGTTCAGCCGCCAGGAAATGCATGATCAAGCAAAACGCGCTCCAATTATTAACGTTGATTACACAGTTAAAACAGAAAAATAACATATGGATGGAAAAATGAAGACCCCAGTAAGGTACCCGAAGCTACCCTGTACACGACAGGTGCTGCTGTTCTGTCCGCAGACTCGTGCGCGGGGGTGACCTGCGGCGCGGGGCGGCGCTGCGCCGTGCGCTGGGGCCGGCCGCAGTGCGTGTGCGCGCCCGATTGCTCCCGCAAGCGCCTGGCCTCGCTCTACAACCCCGGGGCCGCGGGGGTGGCCTCGGGGACCTCCGGGACCGCGTCGGCGACCACCTACGCGGGGCCCACGGCCGGCCCCGTGTGCGGCTCGGACGGCCGCTCCTATCGCTCCGCCTGCCGCCTGCTGAAGCGCGCATGCCGCCGCCAGGACTCCAACCTCGCCGTCGCCTACGCTGGCACCTGCCAAAGTGAGCCTCCAACGCCTTGCCCCTCGCTCATGCCCCCGACCGAGGGGAACTTCACAAAAAATCAAAGGCTCATCAATTTTTCATTTTCTCCCAGTTTTTCTTGTAATTTTTGTGATTTTATCTGGTTTTTTGTCACTTTTTCTATGTTTTTTTCTAATTTTTCATTGATTCTCCCTGATTTTTTGGAGGATGGTTCGATGATTCTTTGAGGAAAGTACCCCTCGTCGCTGACGACAACCCTCTGCTTCCCCCACAGGCTCGTGCGAGCGCGTGCAGTGCGGGCCGGGCCGCTCTTGCGTGCAGGACCAGAACCTGTCGCCGCACTGCGTGCGCTGCGAGCGCCGCTGCCCGTCGGCCGGCCGGTCGCGCGCCGTGTGCGGGGCGGACGGCACCAACTACCCGTCGCCGTGCCACCTGAGGGAGGGGGCGTGTCGCGCCGGCAAGGCCATCCCCGTCGCCTACCGCGGCCGCTGCCAGAGTGAGTAGAGCACACCCCACATGGCGTGACCACAATGTGGTCACGCCGCAATTAACATTCCGTGCGGGTGGTGGGTACATTTTCCCTGACCTTGGGTGACATCTTCCTGGTGGAGCGTCCGTCGCGCTGGCGCTGCGGCGCTACGCCGGCAGGGTAGGCAACTCATCGCGCGCTGTTGCAGGAGTGGCGACCTGCGGCGCGGTGCACTGCCGCCGGCACCAGTCCTGCCTGACGGACATGGCGACGGGCGCGCCCCGCTGCGTCACCTGCTCGCTGCGCTGCCCCCGGGCCGGCGCGGGGAAGTCCACGGCGGTGGCGGCGGCGGGGTCGGCGGCACGGCGGCACGGCGGCAGCCGCGTAGCGCACGGCAGGCGCAGCAGCGGCGGCGGCGGCGGCGCGAGGATCCGGGAGCTGGTCAGCCTGGACGCCGCCACCGAGCTGGTCCAGGGCGGTCCCCTCTGCGGCTCCAACAACAGGACGTACCTGTCGTGGTGCCACATGCGCAAGGACGCGTGCGCCACGGGGTACGTCATCGACACCAAGCACTCGGGGGTCTGCTCCGCCGGTGGCCAGGACCAGGACGCCGTCGATGAGAGCCGACCTGGTGAGCGCTCGACTCTTGGTCTTTAGTTCGCTGTACCTTTGGTTGGAGAGGAGATTCAGATGATTCTACTTTCTATGTCCCTCCCAGGTAAGGACCCGGCCCCGCACCTCAACGCCGTGCTCGAGGGAAACACTTTTGCCTGAGTGCTTCGGCCTCACCCCGTTTTTATACCGCGTGGGTCATGGAAAGCGCGCGGCCAGGCTGAAAAGACACACATATGGGTCCTGGGTAGTCCTCTTTCCTCAGTAGCCGTATTATTCGTCCTTAAAATTCGTGGTGCTATAGAACTTGATGAGAAGTTAGAAGACCAAAGCTTAATCAGTTTAAGTTCAAATTTTGTGATGGTTTAGAAGGCGTTCGGAAGCAACGCTGCTAGATTTTTCCTAAGCTAAACTTAATTTTTTGTTGTTGTAAATATAGAGATCGGATTTTAACTTATGTGAAAAGGAGAATTCGAGGTAACTAAGACAATTGTTTTTGTAATACCGCTAATAGTTTATACTGGAAACGCCTATTTATTATTTATGTTATTTTTAAGGGTTTTCCTTACACAAGATCATACATATCCATGATGGTCTTCTTATTGTCCATTTTGACTGATTACGTTTTATGTTAGTTTATCTTACTGTACATACGGTAGTCGCTGTATTTCCGGTGCCAAATGCATGGCCTGGTGGCCATTCTAAGCAATAAGTCTTATGTCCCAACTGATCGGTTTTTGAGGAGAGGCCTCTTATTTGACGCGTTGATTAGCCCACTTTTACATTGATCTTGTGAGGAGGTAAAAGTTAGTTCTGTTTTCAAATAAATAATTTAGAGATCGCGTGTATCCTTAGTATGTAGCAGACAGTCGTAAGTTTCCTTTTGTTCGTCAGTATTAAACTGTAGTAATCAAAAGTACTGTCAATATTTTGAAATCTGCAGGGAATTAGTAGTGATTTTGCATGTGACGTCGGTAAAAACAAAGAAGAGTAATATGATGAAGACTGCGCCTTAATAACATGTATATGTGAAAGTGCAAGGTATTGAACATTAAATCCTTGATTGACTTCCAACACGTATTTTTACCCCAGACAAAGACAGCCTGGGTGTCAGACGCAGGATCGGCAGGCAACGGCGCACGACAGGTGAGTTTGGCGGGACTGCCTACCCCACGCGGCGAGCTGTCTCGCATCCCCCTCTCGTATAGCCCCCTCCCCCCCC